TTGCGGCTTTGTCGAAAAACAATCTGTGATAATGCTTTCCTAGATAATTCTATGAGACAATAAATGGCAACTCATGTAAAAATATGTCCCAATATTATACATGTGTATTGTTACTTGTTATTAATCCTAAATTTCAAATTTTTATGGTACTTTCTTATGGCTTTTAAGAATGGTCGATGTCAGATTAAATGACAGCAATAAATAATTTTTTACGTAAACAGAAATGCCATGGTAACTGTACTTAAAGTCTTCTGAAAAACATACTTACATGACCCATAGGTATATATCCTGCTTAACTAATATAGAATAAGGAAACATAGGATGTCAAGCCTCATGAATGTTTTAAATTTCAGACTTTTACAACTATATAATTAAGGAATATAGACTTCTCCTTGTCTCCATAGCAACCTTATTCTTTAATCGATTACTTTATCAAACTTAAAAGGAACATTTTAATATAAGATTTGGGTAATGAATCATTATTTACATTACTATTATAATGAAAGTCTGGGGAAAAAACACTTGTTTTTACCCTGCCCCTGCCCTGGCATTTATTGAAAAAGATATAACCAAAACTTGAAGTAAAATGTAGCGTCTCTTTTGCAAACTCAGACAAAAAGAAAAAGAAAAAGTCTAAATGAGTGAGTCAACAATTAATGTTGCTCCATGGTAATTCTTTGTCATTAAAGCTACAAACATGAGTGAAATATGTAGAAACATCTATTTTTAGCCTCACTGACCTTGAACTTGACCTAATTTCAATGAAAAATGACAATAGGGTGGTATAAATGACACAAAGTATCTAAGATATCAGTTGATATTACTGAATGAAGTTGCAAGGAAAAAAATTACAAAAGGATATAAATTACCAGCTAGCTAGGGCAAACTTGTAAAAAATATATAACACTGAAAAATGGGGAAACATATTAATAAGAACCCTTTCCAACACTAGGAAAACAACAATATTATTATATAACATGTAATATTAATAAGACACCATCTTTTTTTTCTGCACACGAGAGCAGATTCCATCTGAGTTCCAACCTCATCAGAAAAGTTAATAACCATTTAAAATGATATATCTAAACCATTCTGCAGAATGGAAATACATAAAATGAAGATAAGAGATGATTCACGTGCTTCTGTAATGATACCTTGAAACATCGAGCAGTTATACAGAGAATACACAAAAAACCCCTACACCATTAAACATTTAGATAAATCATCCACTTGGAAGGAGAAAAACAATCATTATCTAGTGGTAACAGCAGTTTCATTCAATCTGCTGTATTTAATAAATAAATGCAAGTGAAATATAAAATTATTCATTAAGGGTAAAAATTTATTCGTTAGTTAAAAGAGTAACATTAAGGTTATTACGGTTTACCCAATTTGGGAATAGACCAAAAAGGACAGCACTGAGTTTTCCTAATTTCCGAACATGGATGTAATCGTTAAAAGACATGTTATCTGCAGCTTATCTAAACTTTCACTGGCGAAAAAAAAAATAACCCCAAAAGAGTAAAATTAAACAACTGTCCAAACACACATACAATTAAAATATTAAATTATCGTAATATTGAAGTTGCCTCTCTATTTTTCCCTATCTGAATAAAAGAAAATAATAATTTTATTAAACTTAAAATTAACAATAGTATTTTTAAGCCCCTGTTATTAAGTGATCAAATCTTTCTCTCGTGATTCCTTTCTTTGCTTCCAATGTTTGCAAAAAACATTGTGGAATTCAAATTAAAAAGGGGTTTAAATAAAAAATTTGAGTCTATTTTGGCGTTCCAATCTTATGACTATAACCAGTAATTATCAATTTTTCCACATATGGTGCCTCTGACTCCTAATCCAACAAGACATTTGCATCAGCTCTGGGAGACAATCTATTTTAACCGTAAGACTCCAAATATGAGATCAATTATTGTCACAGAGAAATTATGCCTCGCGTACGATCTAACCAGCGACCCCGGGATAATCAATTTGATGCTCTCCCTATTAGGACAAGTCTGTAGACATTCAGTGATAAATTGGCAAACAAGAGGGCCAAAATGGCCCTAGATCGCTCATCTGACCAATCAAACTCATCCGAGCCAAGCATCCTGACAAAGCTTGATGACAATTGAGTCAAAAATGTGACCACTACAGTGTTTACAAAGTTTTCCATATTTGGGCAGTGTGGCCTAGTTTTTGATCCCAGGTGACGCATATTTCAACTTGACCTAGAAATCATGAAAACAAACTTTCAGACTAATTTCCAGGATATTTGGATCAAAACAGTAGCCACTTGAGTGTTAACAAGATTTTTCTATTTTTTGCTCCTGTGACCTTAAGTTTTTCATCTGAGATAACCCATGTTCGAACTCATCCAAGCAATTACATATAGACAAGCATCCTGACAAAGTTTGATGATGATTGAGTCAAAAATGTGACCGCTAGTCAGTGTTAACGAACAATTTAATTTTTATGTTGACTATGTTCTAACCATGATCAAACTTAACACTGCTTATTTTTGTTAATTGGTGGATCAATCGTATCTCAACCATCATAACTTTATGCCTGGCTGACAATAACTCAGTTTTTACAGCAAAAAATTGACATTTGTAAAATTTTATGGCAATGACAACATTATCATTCCAGTTTAAACTTCGGTGACAGCTGCTGCTATTCTTGAATGAAAAAAAACATTGATCAAAGATATCGGTAAAAGTATCATAACATTTCAAAACATTTCTATTTTGAGAACACATTAAGATATTTTCCATAGATTACTTTCCAACACAATCATTTAACTAAGTTGTTAGAAAGTCACTTGTTTGACAAAATTTAATTCTAGGGAAGTTACTTTTTAAACTTTTTAAAATACAAGGAAAGTAACTTAGTAACAAACTTAAATCAGGGGAAGTAACTTGGTTAAAATACTAAAACAAGGGGAAATAATTTGGAAAACAACTAAAATATAGAGCAAATAACATGGTAAATGAAAATAAATATCAAAATGCACAATCCATGCTCCTAACATAATGATATTAACTACAAATATAACAACATATTTGTTAACTTGTTTTTTAAGAATCAAAATAAAACTAATTAACACAACATGACATTAACTGCTAATAATAACAGCTCCTACCATGGCCCAAAAACAAACATTCGATAAAAGACGCTGCTGCTTACCGGCTTCACTAATAATGTATCTAAATAAGAGGAATTAACTTAGTAAAATCTATTAGAAACATAGATGTTTAGTGGTGACTCATAATTGTTGTTAATGCATATTTCATGTAGACAGAGATGAGCTTACAATTGTCTCAAACTGAGAAAAATGAATTAATTATTACCATATATGACCTAATACATCCTTTTGTGACCTTGACCTTTGAGCAGAGGCAATCTTGACATGTTGGTTAAGGTCATTGACAAATTATCACTTGGTCCCCGCCTCTACGTTGGTTTGAATCTCTCTAAGAACATTGCGCAAGGAAAGATATCAAGTTAGCAAGAGAAAGGCCAAAGATTCTACAAAGGTGCTACCTGATAAAAACAACAACCACAAAAGCAACAAAATAAACAGTAACAATAAAAGCAGAAACTGTGAAAGAGGCCCCCCTACCCCCCCTGCCCATTTGTAATGAGATAGGTTCACCATTTCAACTCTAGCTGCTTGAATGACATGAGACAGGTTCACCATATCAACTATAGCTGCTTGAATGACATGAGACAGGTTCACCATTTCAACTCTAGCTGCTTAAATAACAGGAGACAGGTTCACCATTTCAACTCTAGCTGCTTAAATGACATCATCATTTCAACTCTAGCTGCTTAAATGACACAACACAGGTTCACCATTTCAACTCTAGCTGCTTAAATGTCACAGCCATCCCTGCAGCATTATAGCCAGGCCAGCGCAATAAGCTGACCAATACAGTCTATATAGTTGGCATTAATCTTTGCCACCCAGGTCAAACTACCCAGCTGTGCTGTCTTAAAAGGCTCTTATACTATTGGTGGCTCACTTTAATTTGTATTTTGATATTGAAATCCATTATTCTTCAAATCAACTGTTCCAAATTCAAACCAGGGCAAATTTTTAACACAAATTAAGCAAGTTTAGAGGGCTAATTTTGTTTGTCTCCAGAAACTACAAATGAACTGTTCTTAATTTAAAAGAGGACAAGTTCATTACACTAATTCAGTAGGGTAAGGGTTAGGGTTAAGTTAATGTAAGTTGATGAAAAAAAAAACGGCCATTACAAGCTCAAAGATCTGTCAGACAGGTCATCAAAACAAAGACAAAATAGTACACTGCATGGACGAAAATCTTCTACCAGACAAATCACACTTACCATTTATTTCAGACAGGATATATCAAGATTTTTCACTAAAAATTTAGGAAATTTACTATATGGTTATTGGGGCTATGTCAGGTATTCAATTTATTCAAAATGTTTTGATATGCCAAAGCTTGATTCTGAGATATTTTTGTTCTGGGTCAAAATCTCGCTTCTAGAGGCCAGATATTGCCCAGACACGAAAATGGCACAGTATCTCAGTGCACAGTACAATTAGTTGGACTTATTAGTATTCAATTATATTTAAACAGAACAATATTTTCAAAACAGCCTTGACATTAATTTTTAATCTTTCAATATACATGGACACCTTCACTACATTCATTAACATGCATCGTGAATTTACTGCTGTTACACCTCCACCCCAATTCCCCCCCCCACAGTGCAAGTGTCAAGTCAACATCAGTATCCAACATTGGACTTTGATGCCAAACTATATCAATAAAAATATATCAATTGTGAGTAATTTATTCCTTAAAGGATGAGATAAAGTGAATAAAATTCAATTTCAAGGACTATTAATTTATCTTTACAAGCTTACATTATATTATATTTATACTACAATATTTCAAATTGATTGACTACTTTTTTTATTATTATTAATGTAACACATTGAAGAGAGATCAAACATGCTTCTATTACCTGTAGTGCTGGAACCAGTGATTGGAATTTTATCCATGATTTGGGTTACGAAATCCAGCGCCACTTTGAATGATTTTTATATAGCTCCACCCACTTTTTCTTTGAATGAGATAAATTACCTCACTCAGTTCCGACAGATTTATAATACAACATCAATTCTACACATTTAACAAATTTAACTTAAAACCTTCGTTTACAAATGAAACAATTTATCCCTCACTGCACACTGAAATTTTCACATAAGAAAAAAAACAACACAACTTGTATTCCGTTTCGAAGAAAATCTGGAAAACTGGTTTTTCTTCGGCAGCGGATGTTATTTCTTGACAATAAACAACCAAACTCTGCTAAATTCCAACCGGCATTTTTTGTATACCATCAAAGGGCCTGTTGCCAAGCTTTTTACCAGTTTAATATCACTAAGTTGGAAGAAGTACTCGGGTTTTCGGTTTTAGTGTTATCTACCCATATACAAGTCTATCTCAAATTTCAAGTTTCACAGCATGACAGAAAGAGATGCTTTACCATAAATTTTGTAAGCTATAAAATTTATTATAAACAGCATGTTAAATGTATGCCAAGAGAGAGAGAGATATTTTTTTTTTTGGCTACTGACTGTTTCACTGCTCACTCTATTATACAAATGCTTTCGCTACATATACACCTGTGGCCATCAGGTGTGCATTTCACTTAAATTAAATGAAAAGTAATCAACGCAATCTATTAAACAATCTCGAAAAAATATCACACATTAACACATATATTTCACTGAAACTAAAACGCTCCCTCAATGAACATTAGAAAAACACGAAAATAACCACATTTAAACCATTTGTATTTATTTATACAACCACATAACAAAACTCTGTTAACTTAGTTATACATAAAACAATAACACTTTGGGATAATTTGAAATATTTTCCCTCTTTTCGAAACTTTAATCCAATTTTAAACCAGATACATTAAAAAAAAAAAACCCATATATATTGCCACAAAACACCAAGGTTATTTTCTGAATTGTTGAGATAAAATGCTTGTAATCCAACAGAGAAATACAGCTAATAATATAAAGAATGTGGCCGAGTTAAGTGGAGCATAAATGTTGTTCTTTTTTTTCACCAGCATCTGTTGTTGATTACATATGATGGTACATAAATTATATGCATAAGTATATATAGCGTATTTATATTTTAAGATGGTTTATGAATTTTTTCACCCTCATAATCCACATTAGGGGGTAAGTAATTACAGAACAGAATATTGCCCTATTAAACTAAATGGTATGTAAAAACAGCAAGAAAATATAATTTATAACAGTCTGTGGACTGTAGCATGGTACATGAATATGACCTACATAAAAAAATTCTGGTTAAAATTGAACCGGAACTGTCCCTAGAGATATTTGACCTGCTTATCGACAGTGAGACCTGCTTTTAAAATGTACCAGAACAATCTCCAGATTATAATTCAGGGTGATATTTGACCTGCTTGTAGACAGTAAGACCTCCTTATAAAATTTCTGGTTTAAAGTGTACCAGAACAATCTCTAGATTATAATGCAGGGTGTTATTTGACCTGCTTCTAGACTGTAAGACCTCCTTATAAAATTGCTAGTTTAAAATGTACCAGAACAATCTCTAGATTATAATGCAGGGTGATATTTGACCTGCTTCTAGACTGTAAGACCTCCTTATAAAATTTCTGGTTTAAAGTGTACCGGAACTATCTCTAGATTATATTGCAGGGTGATATTTGACCTGCTTGTAGACTGTAAGACATACCTGTTTATAAAATTGCTGGTTTAAAATGTACCGGAACTATCTCTATACTATAATGCAGGGTGTTATTTGACCTGCTTCTAGACGGTAAGACCTCCTTATAAAATTGCTGGTTTAAAGTGGACCGGAACCATCTGTATAGACTATAATGCAGGGTGATATGTGACCTGCTTCTATGGGCTACTTATAAAATTTCTGGTTTAAATTGAACTTGAACCATCTATAGACTTTAATTTAAGGGGATATTTGACATGCTTGTAGAATATAAGACTGCTTATTTAATTTCTGGTCTAAAGTGAACAGTCTGTAGACTCTAACATGAAATGCTTATAAAACTTCTGGTTTAAAGTAAATAGTCTGTAGACTCTAACATAAAATGCTTATAAAACTTCTGGTTTAAAGTGAACAGTTTGTAGACTAACATGAAATGCTTATAAAACTTCAGGTTTAAAGTGAACAGTCTGCTAAGACTCTAACATGAAATGCTTATAAAACTTCAGGTTTAAAGTGAATAGTTTGTAGACTCTAACATGAAATGCTTATAAAACTTCTGGTTTAAAGTGAACAGTCTGTAGACTCTACCTTGATATGCTTATAAAACTTCTGGTTTAAAGTGAACAGTTTGTAGACTCTAACATAAAATGCTTATAAAACTTCTGGTTTAAAGTGAACAGTTTGTAGACTCTAACATGAAATGCTTATAAAACTTCTGGTTTAAAGTGAACAGTCTGCTAAGACTCTAACATGAAATGCTTATAAAACTTCTGGTTTAAAGTGAACAGTTTGTAGACTAACATGAAATGCTTATAAAAATTCAGGATTAAAGTGAACAGTCTGCTAAGACTCTAACATGAAATGTTTATAAAACTTCAGGTTTAAAGTGAATAGTTTGTAGACTCTAACATGAAATGCTTATAAAACTTCTGGTTTAATGTGAACTGTTGAGTCTGTAGTCTCTAATATTGAATGCTTATAAAACCTCTGGTTTAAAGTGAACAGTTTGTAGACTAACATGAAATGCTTATAAAACTTCAGGTTTAAAGTGAACAGTCTGCTAAGACTCTAACATGAAATGCTTATAAAACTTCAAGTTTAAAGTGAACAGTTTGTAGACTAACATGAAATGCTTATAAAACTTCAGGTTTAAAGTGAACAGTCTGCTAAGACTCTAACATGAAATGCTTATAAAACTTCAGGTTTAAAGTGAACAGTTTGTAGACTCTATCTTGATATGCTTATAAAACTTCTGGTTTAAAGTGAACAGTCTGTAGACTCTACCTTGATATGCTTATAAAACTTCTGGTTTAAAGTGAATAGTTTGTAGACTCTAACATGAAATGCTTATAAAACTTCTGGTTTAAAGTGAACAGTCTGTAGACTCTACCTTGATATGCTTATAAAACTTCTGGTTTAAAGTGAACAGTTTGTAGACTCTAACATAAAATGCTTATAAAACTTCTGGTTTAAAGTGAACAGTTTGTAGACTCTAACATGAAATGCTTATAAAACTTCAGGTTTAAAGTGAACAGTCTGTAGACTCTAACATGAAATGCTTATAAAACTTCTGGTTTAAAGTGAATAGTTTGTAGACTCTAACATGAAATGCTTATAAAACTTCTGGTTTAAAGTGAACAGTCTGTAGACTCTAACATGAAATGTTTATAAAACTTCTGGTTTAAAGTGAATAGTTTGTAGACTCTAACATGAAATGCTTATAAAATTTCTGGTTTAAAGTTTTGTTTGTTTGTTTTGGGTTTTAACGTCACATCGACACAGTATATGTCATGGTTTAAAGTGAACAGTTTGTAGACTCTAACATGAAATGCTTATAAAATTTCTGGTTTAAAGTAAATAGTCTGTAGACTCTAACATGAAATGCTTATAAAATTTCTGGTTTAAAGTTTTGTTTGTTTGTTTTGGGTTTTAACGTCACATCGACACAGTATATGTCATGGTTTAAAGTGAACAGTTTGTAGACTAGACTCTAACATGAAATGCTTATAAAATTTCTGGTTTAAAGTAAATAGTCTGTAGACTCTAACATGAAATGCTTATAAAATTTTTCTGGTTTAAAGTAAATAGTCTGTAGACTCTAACATGAAATGCTTATAAAATTTCTGGTTTAAAGTTTTGTTTGTTTGTTTTGGGTTTTAACGTCACATCGACACAGTATACGTCATGGTTTAAAGTGAACAGTTTGTAGACTCCATAAAGCCCGTCTCACACAAAACACGATTGGACACACGATTCCCATACGGTATACTCGGTTATACACGGGTTGACTGGTACGAGTTTTGAGCGCTCCAGCCATGCTTGTGGATTAGTTGGCACGAATTAGACTCGAATATAGCACGAGTAATGTACGAATTGAGCACCGGAAATTACTCGGTCAAGCAAGGTTAAAATCAACAACGATTTTCATACGAATACATACGGACTGTTTGTACGGTTCCAAGTACGGTCTAGTACGGTCTGGTACGATTTAAAACACGACATTTACTCGATTTACTCGACTTTCACAGGGTTTACATAGGGTCCCGCCGACTTTTGTTCGAGTTAGGCTCGAAATATGCACACATTTGTGTATATTTTTCATATAAATTACCCATTTTTGATGACTTGGCACTTCATGAATTTTCGAAAATTTTCAGCGACGAACACCTTTAGTATAGATCATTAACATCAATAAATGAATAAAAAGGTGAAGAAAATGTAAAAATGAATGTGTCTTTTTTCTGTGGTGCAGCGGTTTGCTGGAGGGCATTTGGAGTTTGAAATCCCTGGGAGACTATGGTCTTATTGTCGGTTGGTCCTCCAGCTTATCAGAGTCAATAAGTTTGGAGTGGTGGGTGGGCCTGGATGGCTTTTTCTTGTATTCCTTCTATGCGTCCAAACCTTCTTCTTTGACACATTCTAGTGTGATGCATCAAGTACTCTTGGTATGGTAGCAGCAGTTAGTTTGTGTTTTTGTAACGTTTCTTGCTGAGGCCGTGTTAGAAGGGTACGAGGCCGTGTGAGACCCTGTATATCCGTACTTTTTACTGTTCTTGGCCATGTATGTTTCGTATATGAACCGTATTGGTCGCTACTATGGCGATCGTATGAAACCGTGTGTGCACTCATTTGAATTCGTACCGTGATGATCTTGTGACATTCGTGGTGTTAATCGGGTGTTGGATGTAGGACTTGGGACATCGGTCTTTTCGAACGATTCCATACGATTTATATACGACATTGATACGGTTGGGCTCACTCGTGGAGTGGACTTCACATACGGCTGTATATACGGTCTCATACGGTCTCTTACGGTCTTGTACGGTCGCTTATACGGTCATACACGGACATGGCATCCGTACCAGTTTTTTAAAAGTTTTAAAAATCATACACGGCTTACACGGATACACTCGAATGGCCCGAGTGTAACTCGGATAACGCTACGGTTTGTTCGGTTGTATGTACGGTTTACACAGGTGGCCAACCGTGTAAGCCGTGTGTCCTGTGTGAGATGGGCTTAACATGCAATGCTTAGGTTTAAAGTGAACAATCTGTAGACACTGTAAATGAAATGCTTATAAAATGTATGGTTTTAAGTAAACATGCTGTTTGTAGACACTGTAACATGGAATGTTTATAAAATTTCTGATTTGTAGACTCTATAGAATAGAATGCTCATAAAATTTCTGATTTTTAATAAAGTGAACAGTTTGGGAGATCTAAAGATAAAATGGGAAGGGAATAAAAATTTTTGGTTTTTTAGGGAAAGAACAGTTCCCGACAATTTAGGATAGGGAAACAGATCGCCCTTTTAAAATTTCTAGTTTGAAAAAAATAAAACCCTTTAGATGAAATGTAAAGGAAAAAAAAGTTTAAGAAACTTTCTTTTAAAATTTCTTGGGGGATATAAAAAAACGGGTTTTTTGTCTGAAAGGTTTTTAATTTATATCTTGCCAGTATTGAAAAAGGAAGAAATTTAAAACAAACACTTTTCAGACAGAAAAAAAGAAAAGAGAAAAAAAAATAAACTAAAAAAATTTGGATGGAGTTTTTCTGAAATTTAAATAATTTCCCAAATTAAAAAACCCTTCCTGGCTTGCATAAAATTTCCCAAAAATGTGAAAAATCTCTATTCAGGGGGTACAAAAAAAAAACACTCCCTTTTCAAAAAAAGCTTTATTTAAAAATCAGAAAACCATTTACTTTTTTAAAAAACTT